CCCGGGGGAGCCGACCGCCTCCGTCCTCTGTCTCCTGCGTGGTATCCGGCCTGGCACATCTTACATGATGTACGCACACATCAGAACACTGACGAACACAGCACAGCGAGCCCCCTCCGGCTCCAGACACAGTCCCTGCGCTCCTTCCCACCGTCCCTCTCCACCCAAGGCGCCCAACTCTGCGTCCGTGGGAGCGGGGACTGCACAGGGCCACCACCTCCTCCCGCACACTCCGGGGCCCTCTGAATGGCCCAGGAGGCCCAACACAGCGAAGGCACCACCGCAGCTGCCGCCCACCACGCTGTTTAGGAAACAGGGACACCAAGAGTCTGCATATATGCACGGTTTTTCTTCAAATACTTCTACCTGAGTTGGCCGAGACTGAGAAACAAGACAGGCCACGGGCACCGCTCAACTCCCACAGAGACACCACTCACGACGGCCCACGAGGCTGTCTGGCCAGCTCTGCTCTGAGAAGGCAGGAGGTCCCCGCTGAGACCGGGGGCTCCTTTCCCCTCCCTGTTCAGTTAATCTGCAGGAAAGATTCAACTACCCTTGTTTTTGCACTTTCACACACGTTTTCCAATCAGCTTGTCAAATATCCTTTTAAAAAAATCACATTTAGAGTTGTAATCTATAGATTCATTTGGGGAAAACTGACATTTTTACAGAATCAACTCCTGCTCCCCAAACTGGAAAAACTGGCGGGCAGAATTCTAACAAGACCACCATGCCCCTTAATCTGTACAGTCTCCTCCTGGTGGGTATGGGCAGGCATTGTGGATGAGATGTTACTCAAAGATTGGGGCATAGTCGACATTAGGATGGGGGTGATAATTTTGGTGGGCCTGGCCTTATCAGGCGATACTTTAAAAGCCCCAGGGCTCCTCTTCTTTAGTTAAAAAAATAATTTTTTGTTTTGAGACGAGGTTTCCCTATGCAAGTCAGGCTCACCTTGAACTCATTATATAGCGCAGGCTGTACTTGAATGCACTGTGATCCTCCTGCCTCAGACTCCCGTATGCTGGGGTTATAGGTGTGTGCCACCATGCCCGGCTGGGTTCCACAAGGGATTTGAGTGAAGCCTGCTGTCTTTTGCTGTGAAGACTTCGGGCTGACATGGCAAAGAATGCAGGGGCCTACAAGCGCCTGAGAGAGGCCCCAGCTGACACCCAGGAGACACACCGGGGCCGCAGACAAAACCACAAGAAGTGAAACCCGACCAACGACTCAGATGAGCCTGATGCGAACTCGTGCCCAGAGTCTCGAGCGGGACACAGCCTGGACAGCCTGGTCCAGCACTGAGACACTGAGCAGAGAAGCAGCTGGGCTCAGGGGACGTCTGCCCCCGGATGGGGGTAGTTAAGCTGGTAAGTATGTGGTGACTGGTACACAGCACAGGTGACTCACACATAGCAGAGGTGGACTGTTCATTCCAGTCCACAACGGTGGATTTCGTGTTTCACAGTTTTGGGGGTTTGGGGTAGAGTTTTTTCTTCAGTGCTGGGCAATGAACCCAGGGTCTCCTTCCTGCTAGGCAAGTGCTCTACCACTATGCCACACCCCAGGCCTTGTAGTTTCCGGCATATAACCATCAACATCTTTCATTCGTGTTTGTTACTTTTTGCTATTTAAACGGGATAAAATATAGCTTCTGGCAGTTAGCAGCTAATATTTAGAGAAATAATACTGCTTTTAGTGTGATCTAAAAATACAGTAAGCTGTTTCACAATTCTTACTATCTCTAGTAACTGGCTTTTCTATGTAGATGGTCATATTATTAGTGAATAGGGGTCACAATTCCTCCAACGATGTTTCACCTGCTGCCACACCTGCCTCCTTCCACTTAAGGACCAGCAGGAACATCTCCCCTTCCAGAAAGCTCCTCTTCCCAGATGTCCAGGCAGCCAGATAACCGCCCCTCAGTGTGGGGCCTTGGAGCCAAACCAGGCAAGGGGCATCTCTGCAGGGCAGACAGTGACACAGAGCTGCCTGTACTCAGGGAAGCTGAGCAGCAGCACGCTGAGGAGGAGAACCAGTCAGAGAGGCAGCCTCACAACCACAGGAGAAGAGGAAACCGAAGGCACCCGGTGGCACAGGTGCAGCACAATTCCCTGGCTCCCTTCCTCCCAGTGTGCCAGGCGCAGCAGGGCCCTGCCAGCCAAGAGCAGGTCCCACAGCCACTCTGTGCTTCCCAACACCCGTCTTCATTGAAAGGAACAGGGTCCCTCAGAAGCGGCTCCTTCTGGAGCACAGAGGGAATGGGCAGGGAGGGCACAAGTGGACCCAACACCAGGCAAAAGGGCTCCTTCCAGCCAGGACCCCCGAGAGAAGCCCTGCACCACCCCAATGGGAGCAAGAGAGGAGAGAGAGAGGGAAGAGGGAGGAAAAAGATTCGAGGACTGAGGAGGAAGAGGGGTTTGAGGACTCCAACCCCCACCTGGGTCATCACGGGAGAGGCAGAGGGGTCACTGTGGCCACCCCACCACGCGAGGACTAAGCATCCACCCTGGGGGGCCTGAGGCTGCACAGCCCTGCCCAAAGGTGGCATCTGAAATCTAACCAGGAGGGGCGCTAGTCCGGGGACCATTCTCCAAAATCACTGGCTGTCTTCACAGCATCGCTGTTACAAAGGCCCAGAACGACTGACCGACTATCAGGAGGTTACAGCTATGACCGCTCAGGCACATGGCCCCGACCCCATGCTCCTGATGGTACTCACGGCGCACCGAACAGGTGGCAGTGACCTGCAGCAACCTCGAGGTCTACAGGGTACGGGCTGCAGGTAGCTGCCCTTGCTTGCTGGAAACTTCCTGCATGGAGGGTGTGGGCCCAGAACCGCTCCCCACTCCCTGTGACCTGGAAGTTATTCTTACTCCCCTGACAACTTCTCCAGGCTGTCTCCTCAGTACCATCGTCATCAGACAGGGACAAACCCCAGCACCTCCACCTTGGACCTGCTCCACCCCCATCTCAGCAGGAGCTGCTGAGGGGTCCAGCCTCCTGAGGAAGTGAAGCCACCAGCACACACAGGTGGAATCGGCCCCCAAGCACCCACATTCTGGGTCACAGGTAAGAGTAGGTACAAGGGCCCAGGCCAGGGTCCCAGAAAGGTTCCAGACACCTGGAAAGCAAGACTCTTCCTGTGTCCAGGCTCAAGTGCCACCCGGGTGGGAGGTGGCCTCCAGACAGGCAGAGACCTTGTGCCAGAGACACGGGCTGACCACACGCTCACCTCCTGGCCCACGGACCACTCAGACTGCGGCTCTGCTTCTCTTCTCTTCAGTGTGTGCAGCGTCCAGGCCACAGGTGCCCGCACTGCCACCAGGGGACCCTCTGCAGCCCCCCACATGCACCAACCCCTTGCCCTCACTCCCTGGCCTGCCCTTCACGTCCACCAGGGAAGCGGCCTCCATCTGTACCTCTGCTGACCCCTGCCATCAGCCACCTGACCCCACAAAGCCCCCGCTGGGTGGGACAGCGCCACAGGCTGAGGCGGCCTCCCACCTAGCATAAGCTCAGCTAGCGAAAAACGGCAGGAAGGGACGTGAGCTCTGGGGGCTGGCAGGAGCCCCCCCAGAATACCCATCCGACCCAGCTCGTGGTTGGAAGGGACCAGCAGAATCAGCCACGACTCCTCCACCTTTCCCCACAGCCTCCACCCCCAGGGACAGTAGCTTCAGATACCGTCTTGGGGGGCAGAGCAGCCGCTAGCGAGTGCTGCCCGGATCCCGCATAAGTTGTGAGAATCACCTGCTGCCTAAGAGGAAAAGCCACAGGGCCCTCTGGACACAAAAATCACTAGTACAGAACATGGTGAACAATGGAGTCAGCAGGGCAGCACAGAGGCAGGGCCAGGGTGCAGACATCGTACCCCACCAGTGCCCAGGAGGCTCATTCTGAGCTCCAGCCTCATTTCCAGAGGACTTGGGAGAGAGACAACCACAGAAGCAGCAGCTCTGAGCTGGCCTGGAAAGAGCAGCAGCCAAAGCTTTTAGGAAGGATCTCAGGGCATTAAGAGTCAGCAGAGGGCAGGGGATTTAGCTCAGTGGTTCTGCTACCTGCCTTGCAAGCACAAGGTCCGAGTATAAAGCCTGGTACCAAAAAACAACAAAAAAGTCAGCAGAACACTATCTCTCCACTAGGTGGCGCCCAAACCTCAGCAGAAAGGGGCAGCAGAAGAGGCAGGAGCAGCAAAGCCTCCCTCATTTGACCCAAGGCAGGGGTGCAGGCTGCGCCAGATGTGGACTCCACTCTACTGCTCCCCTAAGTCCTCTCCACCCACCAGCTTCTAGGAAGACAGCTAAGGAGAGGGGAGCTGGGAGTGTCCTCTCAGCTTCAAAGGCCCTGAAACCCAAGGGTCAGGCAAATGGCCAGGACTTCAGACAAGCGCCAGGGCCAGACAGAAGCCATACTGTGCCTGGGACCTAAAACCCTCACTGACCTCTTTGCCACTCCAAGTAACAAACTACATAGCAGTTTAGTCCTTTTTCAGTCATGTCACCCTTGAATCCCATTTCCAGACTCACTGGGGCAGACTAGGGAGCACGCTTCTGGCAGTGGGGTGGCACCCGTACCCTCGATCCTCCCCAGGCCCACAGCAGACATCACACATCGATCCCAGGAGGCATCACCCATCGATCTCCACATTACCTTCGGTGGAGACTCCAGAGACACACACCCAAGCACTGGAGTTGGCACATGAAATGTGAAAACCACTAGTCAACAGGGACCAGGGCAAATCACGTGACAACATGGCCTGCCACACACTGCTCACTTCCTATGCCACACCACAGATGTGCAAAGTAGACCACTGTAGGCTTATAAGCCTGTGAGCAAATTGCTAAAGGTGCTTCTCACAAAAGGCAGCCAAGGGCCAAGCCAAGGGCCAAGATACACCCTCAAGGCCAGATGCCCTAGTACAGTGCACAACCTAGACAACCTACCCAGCACCTTGCTCCAGAGAAGTAGGACCAGAGTCACATTGAAGAATAACAGTCTCATTCTTTGCAATACGTATTGATGAAAATTGGTGGCATTCTGACACATCCAATCACACAAACACAATCCATAAAATAATAAAATACAATCAACATTCTCTTTGTGTAAAACAGCAGCACCCGACTTCAGTGCGTGGAATCTGTGAGTTACCCTGTGCAGGGCTCTGGTCCCTGAAGGCCACCAGCAGTGAAGGCACCGAGGCTGCAGGGCCTGAGAGGAAGGCCACTGCTTCATGCTTTCCGGGCTGTCTTTAAGGGCCCTGTGAAGTCGCCACGTCCTCTCTCAAGCAGCTTGCAGGAGAGCAGCACCCACAAGGCCACTGGAGCCCTGTCCCATCCATGCTATAGGGAGAACCTGGCGGCGATGCTGACTGTCCCCACCCCACCTCCGCCTGTCCCAGGACGTGGTCTGTCAAAGGCACAGTGCTCTCTGCCTGGCCGGCCGTCATAAGCTGCCTCTTCCAGACACGTCAGTCTCAGGTCTCCAAGGCCATCTGGATGTCACCTGCATAGCCACAGGTGGGGGTGACGACGCAGCTTCTCTGTCAGCTCCTCCTCCCTGGGCTCCTCCAGGATGTCCCTGCAGAGGAGGAGACCCACAGGCACTCAGGAGGAGTCGGACCCGGCCCACTGCAAGTGAGTGACCAGAGCCACAGGGAGGCTTGCAAGTACCCGGGGTCCTCACCCTTGACCTCAACCCTAGCTCTGGGTTTCTCTCCCCTGCTTGTCTGCTGAGGTTGCCGTCACAGGGCCTGTGGCTACCACCTGCCTCTTGGCCTCCCCATCATGCACCTGAACATAAGCTCCTCCGACATCTGGTAGGCAGCCTCCAAGTTCCCAGCAAGGGGCTGTTCATGATTTTGGGGGTCCCACCTGTGCAAGAAGTTCTGGCAAGCAGAAGGAAGGGCAGTTAGTGAGTGACCTGTGGGGAACCAGCCTCGCCCCTCCCCAGGTCTCCGACATGGGCCAGCGTCACTGTATTGGCCAAGCAGCTTGCCCTGGAGGCCCAGATGCAGGGCCCAGGACAGCTCCCTCCCCTGCAAGACACGAGTCACCTATTCAGCCTTGATAACACATCTGGAGCACCCAAGGGGCCCCAGCAGCCAGGGAAGCGGCACTAAGCCCCAGGGGAGGGGGCTCCTCAGCCCACACCCAGCCAGCCCCAACCCAGCATGCACTCACCCACCCAGGTGGCCATAGGCTTGGCCAAAGCCTCACAGAGGCCCTAGGTGGGCCTGGGCGGGGACTGCTCATACCTCCAGGAGCAGAGCCAGAAAGAGGTTGACCCAGATGACAGATGACACCAACCACCACAGCACAAAGTAGATCTTGGACCACCTGTGGAGGATACCACTGTGAAGTGAGACCCTTCCCAAAAAACCAGCACCCAAGGGTGGTGTCCCTGGATGGCATTTACCAAACTGCCCGCAACTCCCTGGGGCCCAGTGTTACTAATGCCACCTACGAGGATCCCGGCCAGGCTGCAAAGGGTGCAAGCACAGCCAGTGGGAGAAAGAGCTGGAGAGAAAGAAGGAAAGGCTCCTCCACTGGAGTAGGTCTGAGCTCTCCAGTCCCCTGCCTCAGCCTCCCCAGGGCACCTGACCCTGTGGAATTCCCTAAAAGCTCCAGTCAGATCCACCTGTCCTCCCACACCAGCGCCCCCAGGTGTGACGCCAGAGTCCTCGCTGTTACCAGGGTGCGGTGTGGGTGGGGGTGACAACCTGCCATGACACTGCCTGGCCACATCGCGTGTCTGGGACCTGCTCCCTGCTCCCTGCTCCACCCAGGCCTGGACACTGGGTGCTCTGGGCCAGTGGGCAGGGAGTCCCATCTGCTCAGAACCTCTGCCGTCAGGAAGGGTGACTCACGGGCCCACGTAGCGTTCGTACGCATCCAGGATCACCTGCCAGTTGTTCACCACCATTACGTTCCACAGAGTGACCAGGGCAGCCTGTAGAGACAGCACAACGTGGGTCTGGGCAGGTCCAGGAGGCAGCGGACAGTGGGAGAAGGTCTGGGGACAGACACAGGTCTCACCGCAAAGTCATCGAAGTTGTTGGCCCAGTACTCCAGCTGCTCGAAGCTCCCACAGGATGCAGAACCATTGGCAGGGGCCAGGCTGGGGGACACAGTGCCCCTGGGTCAGTGTCAGGGTACAGGGTCTGCATACCCAGGTAGGTAGCACCTAGTACTGCCCCAGTCCCCGGCCCCACATGGCCCTCCTCACAGCCCCTGGGACAAAGTGGGCAGACATGTCCATCCACTCAGGGAGGGTCTATGCGCACAGTGAGGAGCACCCTGGGGCTCCAGGCTCTCATGCTGCTCTGTACCCCAACCCACCAGCTCCTGTAACACGGACCCCACGGTTGGGGTGGGGGGCGGGGGCAGGGCACCTAGGAAAGGCCCCCAGGTGGGGCTGAGGGGATGGACCCCTCCTCCCCTGAGCAGCTCAGCCTCGCTCAGTGCCCCCAAGAGATTCCCTGTGGCACCATAGGCCCCACCCCACCTGCCATTTCCAAAGGGAGCCACAATGGTGCCTCGGAACAGGCTGATCCCGGCGATGGCAAACACGTAGTACACCACCTACAAGAGGCAAGGCCGTCAGTGCAGCTGGGGCCCCAGGGCTGCCCCACCCATAGGCACCCCTGCTTCAGAACACACAGGACCGGGAGGCCAACCCCAAAGCTCCCCAGGAAATGGGGGCTACTTCCAGTCACAGGCCACCCGTCCCACCCAGGCATGGCCCCTAGGTGGCAGGTAGGTCCTGGGGAGGGGTCAGGAAACACTGACTTTCGCTTGTTAAATGTGACTGAGAGTCCCTTCAAAGGAAGCATGGATCAAGCCCCCTCCCTGGGCACTGGGAGGCAAAATCTTGGGCCTTTGGCATTTTTTCCTGTTTCTCAGGGTGACCCAGGACCCAGAGGCCCGAGGGACCGGAAGTTACCGGGATCCCTGGCATGGAAGAGGCCGGGGGGAGCACCAGGCACAGCAGCCTGGGGCCCTCTCCAGAAGGGGAATCTGCCTCCTTGCCCCCAGACCCTCCAACCCTCCCAGGACAACAAGCCAGCCTGCATGGTCTCCTTTGCAGCAACAGAGCCTACCCCTGGGGTTCCCTACCAGCAACGCCCCCAAGACTCACCACCAGGATCCCACCGAAGGCCCGCAGGTTCTGGATCAGGCCCAGGACGGTACTGACCACCATGGCCATGGGCTGCAGGCAGGAGGAAAGCAGTCCCTCACTCATCCTGCCCCACTGGGGACACAAGTGCCACTGCCCTGACCTCAACTAGGAAGGCACGCAGGACAGGTGAATGACCACCAAGCCACAGGCCTGGACACGCACCTATGCTTCTGGACACACCTCACCCACTCATACCTGCCCACACACACCAACCCACACCCGCCACTTGTACACACCACACTCCCACGCTCCTCACATCAACCCGACCCCTGGGTCCCTGGGTCCCTGGGTCCCTGAGTTCCAAGGCAGAGCCAGAGTCCAGGGGAGCCCCTCTAGTCTGGAGGCTCCAAACTGACCAGGCCTGGAGGTGGCAGGTGACCCCCACCCCAGGGATAAAGTCTGAGGAAGGGGCCTCAGAGAGCCAGCCAGGACCTGCGCCCATAGCCTTGCTCTTAACACACAAGCCAGCCCTAAAAAGCCTCCAGCCCACCCCACACACCTACGCGAGTAAGAAACAAGGCTATGCTGGCAGGTAAGGTAAGGTACATGTGTGCACACAAGTATTGTTACATGTGCACATGCGTGCACAGATGTCAGGGTTACCTGTAAATGTGCTCATGTGTGATGTATCATACATGTGTGATGTGCATGACTGTGTGGTCATGTGTGTGTGGTCACACGTGCCTGAGGTAGTGTGTAGTGTGACTCATGTGTGCCCCATGGTTGCATGGGACCGTGTGTGCCTGTACGCGATCTTACGTGTGCGTATGTGTGCACAAGGATGCATACAAAGGCCCCAGCACAGCAGCCCAGGAACCTGGCCTCCATCACGTGGGCAGCACCACTGGGCTCAGCACACTGAGGTGAGACAGACATGCCCAGGACCTGGGCCTGCAGAAGCAGCTCCGACACCCTCGGGTTTGGCTTCTCTGAGTTCCGTAGAATAGGGACGCGAGCAGACCTCTGTCTCCATGCCAGGGCTGGGCCTGGACCCGCTGACCCGCTGGCCTCCCCCTCCACTCCCTTCCCAGTTCACGTTGCTCCCGATGGGCTCAGACTCGTCATGCACAGGCCCTGGTCCTCTGTTGGGGCCCTGAGAATGGGCACCTGGGCAGCCGTGCTCTGCCCTCGCCAGGGCCTCTGCAGCAGCCTCCAGCAGCACAAATGGGCTCTCGGGGTGGCCAAGGGACAGCACCCACCACCCCTGCTGGTCTCCTCACCTAGACAAAGGGCTGGATTCTCACCTTCTAATCACCCCCAGCACCTCAGGGATGTGGAAGGCTGAAGGGTGCCTGAGAGGCCCAAGGTGACAGGGACAGTCCTCAGTCACTCTCCCTCCCAGCCCTTGCTCACCCGCCCAGAGTGTGGCACAGGCAGGGCGGGTCGGAGGCCCACACACCTTCATGTTGGGTATGATGCGCAGGAACCGGAACACGATGAGCATGTTCACCAGCCGCGTCATGTCCCACAGGGACAGCAGGCCCAGCATCTCCGGCTTCCTGCACAGACACACACAGGAGACAGGTGGGGAGAGACCCAGAGGCCGGCAGACATGCGGTCAAGAGACAGAGGGAAAAACGGGTGTCACAGGAGATCAGTCCACTGACACACCTGGAACCCCTGGTCACTGCTCCATACCCCAGCATGGCCTCGTGGGAGTACAGGGCCAGAGGATGCCCCCTTTGACAAAGGAGGCTGCGTTAAGTCCCAAACTACAAAGCTGGGGTCTCAGCAGAACAGGGACACTTGGTCCTCGACCCATGTCCCTTCCCGCCCCAGCACTGCAGAGCCAGAAGCCTCAGCTCACACTACCATCCACAGGACAGAACTCAACTGCCCGCCCGCCCGCAGTTCAACCACCACTCAGTTTGCCTGGTGCCAGTGGCCCAGTCCAGAGCCCCTCCCCTGTAGGCCCTGGGGGGCGCTGTTTGTGTAGCTCCCTGGGTTCCTCAGTCACATACCAGCGTGGGTGTGGGAAGCTGTACACAGCCAGAGTAGAGATCTCCAAAACCTTTAAAGGCAAAAGGAAAGAAGGCATCGTAGGGCAAAGCTAATTCAGGAGGCTTCAAGGGAAATGTCAAAGCTCATGCCTGACACATTCTCCCCAGAGGGGGCTTCTGGGAAAGAATCAGAGCTCACTCTGTCCCCACAGTTGGTTCCCATGTTGGGACTCCCATTAGCTGGAAGTCACCTGGCCTCAGGACTTGGGGGCTGAGAGAAGCTACTAAGTGAAGAACAAACCAAGAGGCACTCTCGAACGCCAAGGAACCGACTAGCTCTACTGGTCCAGAAATAGACAAATGTCACTCCAGGGTTGCTATTATGACATTCACACACCAAATACGTCCCCCTCACTCCCAGCATTTAGGGAAAATGGTGTGGGACCCACACCGAGGTCATGTGGACTTGGCTGAGCCCTCTGGGTCGCCCTGGGTCTTCCCGTGCCTCCCTCAGGTTGGAAACAGCAGCCCAACCCTGACTGCACAGGACCCAGCAGACATCCAGCACACAGCCCCCGGCCACAAAGCCGGCGGGGAACAGAGCTGGCCCCTTGTCTCTAGAGGCAGGTACTCCAATGCCAAGGCCTTGGGTCTGAGGGACGCAGAGGGCCCAGCTAAGGCTGCCTCCCACTTTACCAGCAGGATAGAGGTCAGGAGGCCGTCGCACACATTGCTGGGGTAGGACAGGTAGCCCCACGGGCCCAGAGCGAAGACCTTGAGCAATAGCTCCAGCACGTAGTACAGGATGAAGATGCAGTCCAGGATCTGGGGAAGGAGGGGACATCACGGGGCTACCCCTGGACCACTCGGCCCCTGCCCCTCGGCTGCTCCTCCCCGAGCCCCATAACTCATGCTCAGGGCATCCCCCACACCCCCACTTCCTGCTCCATCCCCTCTCCCCGGTGTCAACCAGACCCCAACATCTTCTTTACGAAGTGTGAGCAAAAATATGGTGAATGCAGCTCTGACGAGCTATCCAACAGAAAGGAAGGCTCCTAAAAACATTACAGCGCGTCCTCGTTCACCCTGTCCACCAGATCCGACGCTGCAAAATCTGACTCTTCCCCAAGCCAAAACAACCATGAAAGGTAAATGTTTGGAACCGATTCAGGACCTGGAGGCAGCCAGACAGCACAACTAACAACACTCATGAACGAGAACTTCCAGAACTGCTTCAGAAAGTGGTGAGGATGACAGGACTGTGCTCAAAGTGAGGGGCAGCAACTTGGGGGATGAATAACGAGCTTTTACTGCAATGATTTTTTTTTAATTCAAACGTTCAGCGTATTTTTTAATCACGCCTCTTATTTTATACACGACGTCATTTTTAAACGTGAGAGATCAAACTGTTCCTCAAATAACTAAAGAAAACCTCATGGCTTTAGTCAACTTAGTATCTTTCAGCAAACTTTAAAGACATCCTTTGTCAAGGCACTGGCAGAAAATAACACAGGGCTGGTGCTGTGGTTTAGCTTAATATCCATGTGGAAAAGCTTTAAATTCCTAGGGAATTTGACACAATCTTTTAATGCTAGATAAGACATTCACAATTCCTTTTTTAAAGGCTGGAAAACAACCAAGAAGACAAAGTTCAAATCCTGGGGCCAAAAAGCCGGGAAGACCCTGAAATCACAGTTGCGGTTCCCTCGGGCCTCTTCTCCCTTTAGGCCCCTCCACTGCCACCTACTATGCCTGGCCCCACCAGCCTGTCCCAGCCCCCACGGAGACAGGCCGCTCCACGAGGGAGGGTGGCCACCTTCCTGCTGCCCCTGTAACCACTGAACTCACCCCCAGGACAAAGTCGTCACGGTTCCCAGGCAGCACGTCAGCATCCTGCACCAGGAACACCTACAAAGTCGCAGCAGAGGGCGCTGGCTGAGCCAGCAGAGCACAGCACAGAGCCTCAGCAAGGCGCGCTCACTGCAGGACGCACTAGGCCAGGCAGGAGGAGGAAGCGGGCGGCAAAGACAGGCCTCCCAGGTCCACAGGGCCAAGGCTGCACTCACGCAAATGGACGCGAGGTTGCCCAGGGCGATGACATTCCCCATGTAGTCGAAATAGTGGTGGCCAAAGAGGAACTGGGCAGTCTGGAGAAACGGAGACTGGTACTGGGGCCTCGGCGGGTGCTGGAAAGAACCCACTTGCTCAGAAGCACATTACAGCCCGCGGCCCTGCCCTCATTCTGGGATTCAATGTTCTATCTCAGCACCTATCCTAGTCTCTAGCCTAGGGAAATAATCCTGGACACAGAAACAGTTTCAGGTTCATCACAGTGGTCTTTACAATCCCAGGGGGGTGGTAACAGTGACCTAAACATCCACTGATTCTCCACCAGGTAGCAACACCAAGTGTTCATCCAAAGCATGTGCCACGCGTACCACCCTCTCAATGGTGTTGAGCTAATGTACACCAGGCCGGCGTGCAACAGCAGGGACACGCCCACTCACACTGTGAACAGCCTGGCATGGAAAGCAGAACAGGGACCGGCAGGAGTGGCCCCCTCAGATGAATCTGAGTCCGCCTCCCTGCCCGACCCCATTCAGGACCCCCTGGGTCTTCTCAAGGCTGAGTGGCTGAGCAGTTCCTGTGCTGCTGCCACACCTTGTAAGGGACACCCAGGCTGCTCCTGGGCACCCAAAAAACCCGCACAAGAAAATGTGGGCAGCTGGGGGCTCTGAACGGTGCAGAGCAGGAGGCCAAGGCCCACAAGGGGGACTGTGCGTCACTGCCAAGGAGCAGAGATGAAGTCTTTGGATCCTTCAGAGGGACACACAGGAGACTTTGTCTCCAAGATGGAGAAAGCCATGCGTACAGCCCTTCCGCATCAGGCTTGGCCAAGGCCAGGACAGTGAAGCCTCCCCAGTTCCCAGGAGCCAATCAGAGCTCCATTCCCACTGCCCCTTAGTGCCCGTCAGAGACCTGGGTGATCAATGACAGGGACAATGGAGAGTCCCCTTCAGCCCTGTGGCCCTGGGCTGGGCAGGTAGCATGTGTCCCCTTACCTCTTTGATCACACTTTTGTCGAGCTCATCGAAAAGCTTCTGGAACTCATCAGCCGACAGCAGGACATTGTTGTAGGAACGCACCTTCTGCAGGGGGGAAGCCTGGGTCAGTGGCTGGCGGGGAGCAAAGAATCGAGCCGCTGACCTCACCAGCTGTGAGCACTGGGATTACCGACCCTCACACTGACCCACACCTGTCCTCACTCCCAGGGACCCCAGCGGCCAGGCAGACACAGGGAAGCAGCTACCTCCATGATGGCCTGTTTGTGAGAACTGCTCATCTGCACTTTCTGAAGCACCTGCAGGAAGTTCTGAGGCCTCACCCCAATTCTGTGGGAAAGAAAACCCCATCCCAGTGAGCACATCCAGCCAGGCCACAGTCTATGCCTGGCTCAAATTCACAATGCCACGTGGTGAGGACCTCAACTAGCGAGTGTCTACCGTGGCAGGTGCTGGAGGTATTTTACAGTCACCAAGTAAGCGCCCCAAGGAGCCACCCAGTCCTCAGAGGAACAGGCCGGTTCCACTACCATCCAGCAGTTGGGATCAGGGCCCTCCCAAGGACACACCCTTGAGCTCTGTCACCACTGACACTGTAGCAGGATAGACACCAGGACTGCACTTGGGCAAGAGTGACAGGTGTTGGGGCACTGGGACAGGATGGGTTTCAGGACTCATGAGGGACAACAGGTCTGGCAGCAGCCCATGGGGGTGCTCAGGAATCTGTCCCAGTATGGTAGCAGTCTCTGATCCCTGAGGAAGGGGCCCCCAGCTGGCACTCACGCCTCAGGAGTGGCTCCTGCCTGCCCCGGCACGGAGGAGAGGACTTCATAGGCAGCACGGGTCCCCAGCCGACGCCGGAACAGTGAGGTCTGCAGAGATTTCTGCAAGAAGACATTCTGAATGTAGAATGCTCTGCCCCAGTTCCGACCTGGCTGCCCTCCAGGGAGAGGAGTGTGCACATGGGGATTCTGGGCTGCCTCTGAAGGCCCACCACCCCCCTCCCGGACACCCGGCATCAGAGGACAGCTGCACAAGCTCCTGGGGGCCCTCATGGGAGGGAAGCGCCACAAAAGTTCAGTCCGACTAGAGCAAACAGCAGTTCCTGCACAAAGAAGTCCTGCATCTCCCCTCAGCTTATGTGGGGACCCTCCTGCTCACAAGAGGGTCCAGGTCAGTGACCCCCAAAGAGCTACAATTCTGGGTGGCTCCAAGGGTGTGGCAGGGCAGAGGGATCCCAGGTGGCCATGGCATCAGCACCTGAACCCCCAAAATGATTTGGTGTATCTCGGGAGGCAGAGGCCCCGCTCACTGCCCCCACCAGGGCTGGGCCAGCAAGGCTGAGGGCCACCCTCTGTCATCCAGGTCACACCCAGGCACAGCCAGGCAGGTGACTCACCATCAGGTAGCCACGGAACTGGTTATAGATGATGGCAGTGAGCAGGTTCATGAGAAACAGGCTTCCTGCAGGAGAAGTGCAGGGATCAGAGGCAGGCGGGGCAGAGCTGGAGCAGCAGGACAGAGCAAGCCTAGGCAGGACACCAGGAGGCCTGGATGGCCAGGGACAACATCACCACCCCCAGGCTTCCATGTCCTCATCGCTCACTGGGACGTGGTGGGGCCTCCAAGCCGTGGGAGAGGACAGACGGGGTAACTGGGGGTCATAGGCCACAGGGACATGGCAACATGCCAAAAGGAAGTAACTCGGGACTGGGGGCACTGGACCTTGTCACACCAGGAAGACTCCTGGTCCTGGCCCAATGGCCCACACAGACCCAGCTGTGCTCACCTATCAGGGTGAAGACTACGAAGAAGATGGCGTAGGCCCGGTTCTTGGAATACGCAGGAATCATCACTGAGGCAAAGAAGAAACCCCTGAAACCACGATCCCAGCCTCAGTGCCTGGTCACTTTCCCGCAGGACATCTGCCACCTGCCTTCTCAATCAGGAGGGCCCAGGGCAGGGAGAGCCGAGACCTTCCTGTCCAGAATGCAACCTCACATCTGCTGTTCTCCCTGGGAACGAGGACTCACTACCCACAGAGGACACTCCCAGGCTGCCCCCGGAGGTGGTCATTACGGTCTTGAGCATCCCCAAGCCCAAAGTGAAAGCAACCAGCCACAGTGATCAGCCCATGGCTGAGACCAGGACTGCGGCCTCCCCTGAGCAGGTAGGGGACCTGTCAGTACCCATCGCAGCCAGCCAATCCCCCAGGTCTCTCACACTTGATGCCCCAGAGCAGCACGCACCTCTCAGCTGGGCCTGGCCGGCGACGAGGAAAGTGGCTAGGCCCCAAAGAGGCTACCGGAGGGGCCACTGACCTTCGCCATTTGTCACCACATAAAGAACACCATTCACTTTCGGCTTCTCCGAGGAGTAAGGAGACAAAAGGCAAGGAGCCCAGAGAGAAGGGAGCAAGAAGGTAAAGGAAAAGAAAGGAAAAAAGGGAGTAAAAAGAAAATGAAAAACAAGACAAAGAGAAGGCAAAGAAAGAGGAGGAGGAAATGGGGAACCCAATGTCACCCTCCCCGGTGATAAAAGGAAAAGCCTTAGACACCCCCACCGGGCTCCACAACTCAGCATTGCCAATTGACTCCCCCATGCCAGCTCATGCCCCCCAGGTCCCACCCTCACTCTGCGCACCGTCAGGATTGTTGGCGGTGGTCAGCAGCACCAGGAGGGAGGTCAGAGACTCTGGCAGGCTCCGGAAGTAGGCCAGTCTCTCCCTGTTCGGCTCCGTATCCTGTTGAGAGCAGGTGAGGGTCCAGGAGCCATCAGGACCTCAGCCCAGAGCTGAGGCCTTAGAACAGCAACACTCCAGGCTCCAGGACCATCCACCAAGGCCTACATCTCCCCATCATTTCCCAGCAGGCTCTTAGTTCGTGGCCAGACAGGACATAAGTCGGGGCCTCAGGACATGGGAGCAGGTATCCGAGGAGACGGAGGACCCCCACAGCTGCCAACCATGACAACATGCCTGCCCAGAACCACGGTGAAACCCTCGGCTGGCCCAGCTAAGAGGGTCACCGCCTGTTGGCCAGGAAGCCACACGTGGGCCTGGCCAGCCTGCCAGCTGCCCACTTTGGCCATGTTGTATGCACAGTGAGATCACAAGCAAGAGGGGCAGGGGGGCAGAGGGCCTGAGCTTGGACACGTGGCCTCAAGCAGGCTGTGTGGAAAGGGACTGGGGATGTGAACCCCCAGAGAGGCCCCACTGCTCCCAGACTAAGCATCAGAGCCCAGTACCTCCTGAGGCACTGCCAAGGGTCCCAAGCCTTGTCAGCATGGCTGTGGCTCTTCACAGCAGCCAACAGGAGCATCTACACCCAGGCTTCCCATCCTCCATCCTTCTGAGGGGTCCCAGCCTCATGCAGGGTATGTGCCCAGGAAGTAATTGCTCAAGGTTCCAGGCCCCAGGTTCCCCTGAGGTCACTTGCACCTATCAAGCCCAACTCTCAGCTGAAAGACAGGGGAGCCCTACATGCTTGGCTGTGGAATCGGTGCGGGGGGCGGGGTGGCAGGATGCAGACCCCATGCGTGGGAAGCACCCATCACTTAGGATCATTCCAAAGCAAGTTCCCAGCTGCCGGCCCTGGCAATGTGATGTCTATAGTATCGGCTCCTCCCTGTTGCTTTTCCAACACAAGTCCCAGGGGCTCATCAGTAACACCAAGACCTCCCCATCTTCATCTACAAAATAGCACTGCTACCATCTGTCTTGTGCAGGGCCCCAAAGGCAGAGCAGCTGACTGGTTATAACAGATTGCACAAACCCACTGGGGGGCGGTCACAGTGGGTAGGGGGTCATGAGAGGAAGTTGCAAGGTTGGCACAGAGCCATAAAAGAGCCAGGATGCTACAGAGGTTGAGAGGCCCCAGCTGGAGCCAGGAAGGAGAGCAAATGCCCCCAAGATGGCTCGGCCAAAGGGCCTGAAGGACACCTCAGCCCCCAGGGATGCATCCAGGGATGGCAGGATCAGGCACCACGACCAGCCCTCCTGGGCCTGAAACAACCCACAGCCTGCTGAGTGGAGCTCGGACTTCCTGCTGACTGAAGGACATTCCTGTACCTGCACTGGATTATAGACAAGGACCAAGGTCCAGGGGTTGAGGCCTCCTGGGCAGGTGGCAGTGCCTGGCCTGTCTCCCAGCAAGCCTCTTGCTGTGCTTCTGCCAATCAGCTCCTGAGCAACCCCTATGTGTCCTTCTACCCAGGGGCCCCAGCTTGAGCCCCCGTTCGATCAGGGGGCAGAGGGATCCCTGTGTGTGGGGAACCTGGGTTCCCACCCAGCCCACCGCTCTGGGTCCAAGGACACATCTATAAGGTGAGAAGACGCCACTGACGCAGGAGGCCAGGTGCCCCGAGCAAACCACATTCCTGGAAATAAATCCAAGATGGACTTCATGGTAAACAAGGCTACAGAGAGCGAGCCACTAGCTTCAGACAGTAGCCACTGTGCTCTCAGTTGGCACGAGCCAGGGACACCAGGCAAAGCCACCCCGACTCATGGCCAGCCACAGCCCAGGCCACAGGCTCCCAATCTGTTCTCCAGGCCAGGCTGGCAAGGGGCTTGATGGCTGAGGAAAGGAACTCAGGATAGGTCAGCTACCATCATGCCCTCCTCTAACTGCAACCAAGGGCTGGGAACCATTCTTGCTGAGACCACAGCAGGCAGCACCATCCCACACAGTTACACAGCGCTCACTCACTCCACTCAGTTCCTCTTCATGGGGCAAACGCCCAGCCTGAAGGAGGTGCGCACCCTTCTGGCACCCAGAGACACTCAGTACTCAAGGGTGGAGCCCCTGCCCCAGTCCTGAATCCGGGGCCACCTCCGGTCCCCCACACTGACCCAGCCCTGGAAACAGTAGAGACGGCAGCCGTCACAGGAGGCCCTTAGGTGTCAGCAGGCTCACCTCAGCAGCCCAGCAACTGCCACACACAGAGACACTCACACTCTCACAAACTCATCGAGTTACCTAGGTAGACACGCACACACAGACACATAGGCATAAGGACAGACAGGGCCCCGGGCTCTTCCCCTAGGGTTAGAAGGCTCAGACTCAGGCCTTCTGGGTGCACAGCCTGACCCTAAAGTTGCCTCATGAAAACCGGCCCTGGCCAAGGCCACCTCCCAGGACAAAGAAACAGACAAGCCGATGGCCCAGGCCTGAGGAGGATGGCGACCTGGCCAGCATGTGAGCACAGACAAAAATGAGCAAAGGCTAAGACCGCCCAAGGCAGGGGGCACCTCCACAGGGCAACAGTGGGGGAGATGCCCTTCCCAGGCAGGAGACCCAGAGTCAGAGCTGGAGACGTGAGCACCCCATAGGGTAGTGCAGGTCTGAAGGACCTGGCTAAAACAAGGCGTGAGAAAGGAGGTATGGAGGCCATGGTAGGCAGCACCACAGCAGAGCGTGAATGGCTATGGGATGAACCTGTGGAGCCCCGTGACCAGCCCAGGGGGAAAGAACAAAAAAGAGGGAGGTGGGCAGGCAGCCCCGGGGAGGGCGTGAACGTGCCAGGGACCCTAGGGACAGAAGCGGGCCCTGCTAGCCACTGTGGGAGTACCATGGCCATGTAGACAGACCCTGGCCTCCAGGGGGCACTGCTGACTTCCTGGTTATGTGCCTGAGACAGGTGGCCTAGCCTGGTCCATGCTGTCTGCTAACCTAATGACATCCCTGACATCCCACCCCAAAGGCAGGCAGCCCGCCTGCAGCCACGGTCTCACCTCACCTTCTCACCGACGGTGAACAGCAACATTCCGAACATTGTGAAGATGCACAGGTGAATGGCCAGCAAAAGCCCGACACTGGGGAGGAGATGGGTGCTCAGCCTGGCAAAGTGCAGGCCCCACACCCAGGTAGGAGCCAGAGACTCCTGATGTGCCCACCGGGCCACTGGGGCAAAAACCTTTCTCTCACCAGAGACCCTGCCAAGCGCTCAGCCCAGGGTCCTGCAGGACAGGCCTGCTCCCAATCTGGCAGAGTCCTCTTTTTTGGTGAGACAAAGGCAACCTCAGAGGAGGGACTGGGGCCTGGGATATTGGAAGGGAGAGGCCACTCCCATCCTTCTGGGTTGATGAGAAGACAGCCAGGTGGGCCACGAGGGCAGGGACTTGAGGCAGAGGGAAGCATAGGCGACACTTCTACTGGTGAAGGGGCTGGACTCAAGACCGCAAATTTCTGGTAGTGAAGGAAGCTTGAAGGCTTCCAGGCAGAGGTGATGTCCAGAGTACCTTAGCTCTATAAGGTGTAAGAGGCAGCAGGGAACCAGGAGACACCAAGTCAGGAAGAGACATGGCCATTAGGGAACACAGGCAAAGACCCATCAGAGGGGCGCCCACAGGACTCAGCATCGGAAGGGAGGAGGGGCAGGTCTGCAGTAAGGCCTCTTAAGGGGGCCAAGACTCCTGCATGCTGACCTCCCCAGGGCGCCGGGCTGAAAGCGTTCATGGGCCTCACGCGCTGCATCCGGGCAGGGGCATCCAGGCCATCCACAGGCCAGGGCCCTTGGGCTGAACACTAGCTGGAGTCTCACTGGGCCCAAGACCTACCTGGCCATGTCCGGCAGTGACCACCGGATGCACTTCAAAGTCTTCTTCATCATGGAGGAGTTCTGCAGCAGGAAGAAGGGACGCAGGAGGCGGCGCATGCGCAGCAGCTACAACAGACACAGTGGCCCGGCTCGAAACTGCCTGCACACAGTATTACCTCACCCCTGCCGCCACAGGGGCAAACGTGCCTGGGACCCTAGGGACGGGAGCGGGCCCTGTCGGCCACAGGCTGGCCTGGCAATTCCAGCCGGCAGGTAATGGCCTTTCCTTCCCTCTCACACTGCCTGGCTCCTCTCTGCCACAGCACCCACCGCACACGGAATTATACTTCCCTAGTGTGCCAGGGCCTCTCCCTCGCTCCAGAACCTCGGTCTCCGGGACAAAGGCTTCACCTGCCTTGTTTCTGCCAGTACCTCACGCAGCAGGCCCTCAGAGTGACCCTCGCCGAGGGCACATGGCCCCTCGCTAGGCTGCATCCTCAGAAGGGTCCAGCACCTGACCTGGGACTGACAGGCAAAAGGAGCAGTGATGACCAGTAAACCAACTGCTCAGGGCTGTGGCCTCAGTCTCCCCAGGGCCCTCACACACCACCCATGGTGGAAGATCTGCCCCCAGTGCTCAACAGACCAAGGCTCCTTGGCTCCCAACAGGGCAAGCAGAGGCTGAGGGCTGGGTCAGCTTCCCTACCTACCTGGGGTGCACTCACTCTGCAATCAGCGTGACACACACAGGGCCAAGAGGACACTAAGGCACGTCCAAGTAAGTTCTCCCCTGAGAACTGGCTGCTGGGCCAGGTAACCCCTGGCAAGGCCCAGACCCCAGGTGCTTAGAGAAATGCTACACCCAAACAGTTATGTTGAGACCAAGTGAGTGGCCAAGGCCTATCAGTGGCCCACCGGCCCCAAAGCAACAAGGCTCCATCAGCACAAGAGCAGGTCAGAGCCACCTAATGTCAATGGGAGCTCTGCAACTGAGCAGCTGGCCACAAAGGAACAGCTGGCGTGACTGCAGATCTGCTGAGCATAGCCGGCCCAGCCAGAAAGGGACCTGGTGTGGCATCAGAACCTTGCTCTAGGTTCTCCAGAGCCAGTGCTAAAGGGAAAGCTCTGTGCAGGCAGCTTCAGCAGCTCCTCTAGACAGAAACATCTTCCCGGGGCTGAACAGGCACATCACAAGAGCAGGGCTGTGCAACTGGGGACAGGAGGCCCAAGAGGACACAAGTGGACAGATCCCTACAAAAGTGCAGGGCAACCAGAGCTCCCGCCCTCTGGAATGCTCACCAGGGGCATCATTCGGCAAATGGCATATCCTACAGGCAGCTGAGCCTCCCTCCTCATACAGTGTCACTGGGATGGTACAAAGCCTCCACCAGGGCAGCAACACACCCATCCTGCCTGAAGCAGAGCCCAGCACCGGGGCCCACATGGCCCCTGCTAACAATCCTGGACACTGACTCATCGTGACAGACGGGGCTGCATCCAAGGATCTGGGAGATGACTCAGTGCAGGGCACCCACCACTTAGTGCAGAACCCACTGCTGAGGTCAAGGGCCACCCAGGAGAACCAGCCTGCCAGAAAGGTCCAGAGCCTTAGAGGATGTAGGACACTAGCCTGGGTCTTCCAGGGCACAGCACAGGCTCTGGGGGACCAGTTCTCTCCTAGTGGGATTCAGGGAACCCAAGAAATGGGAGTGACCACACTTCCACTCCCCACCCCACCATTCCTGCCACTGCCAGTCTGGAAGTGTCCATACCCGAGGGAGAAAGGTGCATCCACCAGAAACACACACTGGTCCCATACACCCTCAGGGAAGGATTCCACAACTGAGGACAGACCAGGGTAGCAGTATCACTTCCTAGTCAGCAAGAGGGCCCTCTAGAGTAATCTGTGCAACAGGAAAAATCATCAGAAAATCCCAGTCATCAAAAAAAAAAACAAAAAACAAAAAACACCTTGGCCTTTGGGAAGGAAATTCTTCTCAAGGGAATCTCCCAGTAGAAGGGAATCCTCAATGTCACTTAGGCAGTGAAAAACCAGGGCCACTCTGGCAGCTTCGCAAGGCTCCCTCCTGGTGTGTCTGTTGTATACTAATGAACCTCCATTCACATAAGCACCCCAGTAGAGGTTGGGCTCAAGTTAACCTGTGAGTTATGGAGTACTGGCTGGCCAATGCGACAGATACTGTCACTATCTCCAGGAATTGGTGGCTGTTGGGCCACTCTCCCTCCATCAGTCAGATGCGGCTGACTCCAAACCACCCTGTCCCCACCCTGTCCTACCAGACTTTGGGGAGGTCAGAAGGTGGAGGGGGAAGGGAATCTCACCACCAGGCCTCAATACTCTGGGCATGCAATGTGGGCACAGCAAAGCCCTGGGGTGATGCTCTCATGGGGCATCCAGCCTAGTGGAGTTCAGATGCCAAATGAACTGAGGCCAGGAGCTCAAGCAGCCGTAGGACTTGCCGCCCACTCCTCTTGCCAACAGGACCCCCCAGGGGAAGCTTATGCCTTCTCTAGGCCCATGTGCTCCATCTGTGAGATGAGGGCAGGGCTCTCAGACAAGAGGAGCCCAAAGTACTATGGGACAAAGGCAGCACTGGGCAGCTGGCCATATGGCTGCAAGGCCCAGGACCGTTATCTATGGCCTAGATAGCTGCACCTGCACCCCACATCCCACAGAGCCACTGAGTCACCTACCTCCTGACAAAGGAGACTCAGGGACACAGTCCAGTCCACCAGAGACACGACCAGCACTGTGAGGTAGGCCAGCAGCCAGAGGTTCTTCTGGAACTGGGACCACCCAACCAGATAGCCCTGCAAGAGATGAGGACAGGTCTGAGGCAGGCAGAGGGCCTCACTCTGCACCAGAAAGCCTGGCAGCAGAGGGTCTGTCCAACAGTGGGGTCTCCATGTGACATTTAGGGAGCAGGATGCTGAGCAGCAGCCTGAAGGCCATGGGTGGCTCACTGAAATCTCAGGCAGGCACTTAGCCTCTCTGGCCCGTTCCCTATCAGTATTGAGGCTTCCGCCACCTGCTCAGCCTAGGCTGGCCTCCAGTGTTTGCAGGGTCAGAAGGAGGCGCAAGGCTTCCAGACAGGAGACAACGCACATGAAAGGGGAAGGTGCTTCAGTCACTCCTGGAAGGCGGAAGGGGAGACAGTTTCTGTCTGCTCCTTCTCCTAACCACTTCCTACCATCCGTATCCCAGTGACCTCCAGAGATCATGGCCTGCACGTAAAAGCATGTGTTCTCCCACAAGTGGCCCCAAACGCAATGATCACTCAGTAAACACTAATGACAACTTCTCACCAGTTTAGGTTCCAGTTCTAAAACTCACAGACCTGCTAGCCCTGTACGAGCTAAAATAGGAAGAACTGAGAAACTGCCTCGGCCTATAATTTCTCTCCCTCTCCCTCTCTCTCCCTCTCTCTCTCTCTCTCTCTCTCTCTCACACACACACACACACACACACACACACACACACACACACATGTGCACTCACATGTGCCAGTGCCCAGCCACCCCCTCCAGAAGCACACAAGCACCCTTCCCACACTACAGCCTGCAGGGATCCAAAAGCCACGTGAGCCTACAGCCCAGGCGGAAGAGTGCAGGGCTGTTGCTGCAGGTGCCATCCAATACTATGGACATGGATGCCCGGGGGCTATGGAGTCAGAATCACTGACAAAAACAGGACATGCAGCCCCAGTGAGACCTAGCCCCTCTGTACCCCGCTGCAAAGTCACCAAGGCCCCATGCTAATGTGTCCCACAAGTTTCCATGAGCTGAGAAGGCAAAAAACCCAGCTCCCAGCAGGATCCAGTCACAGACAGAAGCCAGGGTCTGATGCCTCCCAGCTGTTCTGTGGGCAAAGACCCCCTTCTGCCTCACACCTGACTCCTCTTCTCTTTGTGCCATAAGGAAAGCCCATGGGTCTTCTTGTGCAGTTGGGGACCTCCCCCCACAAAAGCCAACCCCTCACCAGTTCCCAAAGGCTCTCCAGGCCACCTGGCCCCAGCTTCCACCCTGAGGAGGAAGAAGAGTCAACAGCCTTGCTCCCAGGCCCAGACACACCCAAGAACCCAATCCCTGCCTAAAGGGTTAAGGTGCAGAAACAAGAGAGACAGCCAGCCTAGGGCACCAGAAATAAACTAGGAGAGAAGCAGTCTGGGGATGGGAGGGCTGAGGCAGCTGGAGTCACACAGGAAGGACATGGGCTCAGCATTGCCCACCACCTGCCTGCCTCACCTTCACAGAGATATCAGCCACGAAGACCAGCAGGCAGAGCAGCTCCACGCCCTCCATCAGACCACAGGGTGGCTCCCAGGGCAGGGAGCGATAGCGCACGTCCGCAGTCCACGTGAGTGAGGACGGGGTCTCAATAAAAGCCAAAAACAGGATCAAGAAGATGGTGAAGCTCAGAGTCCTAGAAAGAAAACAAACCTGGTCAAAGGGCAAGAAGCAGCTGCCCTCTGGGGCTAGGACATTGACCGGCAGGTGACACTGATCTACCCAGACTCACTGGCCCGGCGCTGACCCAGTGTTCTGAGAGGGAGGTCCCGACCGCAGGCTGGGCAACTCACTAGGAGGAGGATGGGGAGCCCACCTGGATAGGTATGGTCCTCTCAGGCCAGCCTCCCCACCACCAAGCAGGCCAGAGGTGCATTCTCACCGTTGGCACAGGTTCGAGTAATACCATCGGTAAAGCCACATCGAGCGGGCATCCATGCGGTGGAAGATGGAGCGGTACTGGAAGCAAAGGGTCAGTCACATGGAGGGGCGTGAACAGGGTTTCCCTGGTGCCACACATGCCTAAACCCTGACCTGTTCCCACAATGGGCACCATCTCCCACTGAGCAAGGCCCCACTGGCATCGTGGATGGCAAGATCAGCCTCAGCACGCGGACAAGGCATCCCCCACCTCGCAACCCTGCAGCCTCAGCCCATCACACGTTATGAGGTTTACCCAGCAGACCAAGTGCTTCCCAAAGGCCAGATGGGGGCAGTGTTTGTAGAACACACAGCTGTGCCTCTGTGAGGCTCTCTTCTCCACGCAAGGGTGGCCCCTCATCCCCAGCACAGCTGAGTCATCCCCCAGCCCCACTGGGGACCTAGGATGGCGCAGCCCAGCACAGGCCACAAGGCAGGATAAATCAACAATGCAATGATTCTAGTACTCAGAAGACAGCCTCCTTTAAAGAGGTCTGGCCCTACCATCTCAGCTATCCTAACCCACAGGCCAGCAGCTAAGGCTTTGACCCAGGACAGCAAGGAATGAAGGCTGGGAGATGCTTGGCCAGCAGAGCAGCACCCCCAGGCCCACTCACCTGAACAGCATCTTCAATGAAGACCACAGCCTGGTCGATGCAGAGGTCCTGCCTGGCCGTGGCACCTGCAGGGAGGCAGAGAAGATAGGTCAGGTGACCAGGCGGGCAGTGTGCCTCACCCCTATGGGCTGATCTGATAAGAGGAAAAGAAGCCAGCTGCGGTCCTCCCCTGCTCAGTGACAAGACACCCCCCCCACCCTGCAGCTGGGGCACAGTACCTGCCCTGGGGTCTCACGAAGGCAAGGAGCACAGCAGGGCATGCTCAGGACACAGCCCAGAGAGGCAGCTCTGACACCCACAACTGCCACTGCCCAAGGGACAGGATGCAGAGGACACAACACCCAGCGAAGCCCATGGAAATAGCAGTGCTGGTACCAGACATGGGGTTCTCCTCAGCCAAGGAGCCACCTTGCGCGGCTCCCAGGGGATCAGTGAGGGGCAGTGTGGGGATGCAGTATGCGGTACGCCACACAAGTGACCACTCTGCCGCCCAGTTCCACCACTGGCCTCCCGCATGGCCCCAGCATTCTCAACTAAAAGATGGGCAACACTACCTGTGCAGCCCCTATCCAATGAGACCAGAGATTAAACACTGAGGTGCAAAATCAACATCTAGACCTGGAAACCACCACTGTAACTTATCAAATCCTGGCCCACAGAACCAAGTGACTGTGCCAAGTGCTCTGAGGACAAAGTCCAGGGAGCTCCTGAGTCCCTCCCCACCCATCCTCTGCCAGATCCTCCCTGGCAAAGAGCCATCACTGACTTGGTTCTCACAGCACACGAGATTGGGCCTTCCTGTGGTCTGAGCCAAGGAGGCAGCCGGCTCGTGACTGCCGGGGCCCTCAGGAGCAGCTTGCACCAGCACCCTGGCTGCTCTCGAGCCCCTCCCACTAATGAGCAGCAGCCAGCACACCCAGCCAGGGGCCACCAGGGACCTGAGCTTGGCAGGCCGGTGCACGGTGGGCAGGCAGTTGGCACCTGAAACTCAACAAACAGCATGAGAAGAAAAGCACGAGCGGGGCCCAGAGCAACAGGGGAATGGGGGGCTGAAGTTCACACATCCCAGGAGAGAAGGCACAGCCAGGGCAGCCCAGGGCCCTGGGGCCTGCGGCGGCGTGTAGCCCACGCAGCTCACATCCGGCTTGGAAATGAAGCGGACAGCCCTGTCGCTGCTTCCATTCATGATTCAGCTTCTCCATCTGGCCCCCTGAGGTCCACGGAGGCACTGAGTGGAACAGAGCTGAGCTGCCGGAGCAAAGGGACAGGAGGCTGCAACGTGGAGGAGCAAGCAGAGCCCCAGCCACTGCCCACCCCTCTGCCACCACCCCTGAAGAGGCACCTCCTCTCGTCCCTAGGGCTCCTGTCATGGGACAGAGACAGTAGGGCCCAGGGAGTAAGCAGAGATGTGGGAGCCCCACCCCATGTCTGCCCTGGCCTTACTATGTCACCTAGCAAGTGCCTTCCTCACCCTGGGCCTTCATTCCCCCCCCCCCGACAGCCCTCGTTTCTCAGAGGGGCTCTAACAGCACCAGTTCCTGGAATCCCTACGTGCCCCGGGATGCTATGAACAGAAGCTGTATTGTCTTTTTCCAGGATGAAGCAAAACTCAAAGCCAATTTTTCCAATGAGGAAGTGAACAGCCCAAGGGCAGCCCGCAAGGCAGGGGTCTGAAAGTGCCAGGCTACACAATTTCCTGGCCAGACACAGAATCTGAACCCGAAGAGACAGAGCCATACAAGCTTCTGAGATAAGAGAAAGAAGGACTGTGGAAGGGACTCAGTCTGCCCAGACCAGTTACTGCAGGACCAGGGGGTCAGCGCCCCTGGACGATGTAGAACACCTGGGAGTCCCCTTTGTTTGGCTTTCTGGCTGTTGGTTTATAAAACTCTGGGTCTGACGACTATGAAAGTCAGTGTGGAGATTTCTCAAAAAACTAAAACTAGAGGTTTTAGTTTTAGTTTATTTGACCCAGCTATACCTCTTCTTGGTATCTTCCCAGAAGAATTAAAAGCATTATACCACAGCGATATATACACACCCATGTTTATAGCCACACAGTACATAAGAGCTAAATCTTGAAAACAGCCCAGAAGCCCATCAACTGATGAGTGGATAAAGATTTGGTTTTTAATACAATGGAGTACTACTCTGCCATAAAGAAGGATGAGCTTCAGACATCTGTAGCTAAATGGATGGACGTTGAGAAATGCTCCTCAGTAAAGCAGAATGGACACACGTGTTTAAATATCGCATTGTTTCTATGGTGAGAGAAACCAAAAATGGAAACAAGGACGGAGATGTATAATAGATGTTGGAAAATGGGAAGAAAGTGTTCAAATGGGAAGGGGAACAAGGGAAAGGGGAGGGGGAAAAGAAGGAAGGGACAAGAACAAAGTGAAAATAGAAGGGAAAAAATGAAAACAAAGCTTCTGTACATTGGGAGAGGAAGGGGCTTGAAGGGGTAATAGGACAAAATAAAACAAAACTTATTAAATCTTAAAATAATAAATAAAAATCAAACTTTTCTGTCTGGCTGCCTGAGCTCACCTGCCCTCACACTGCCAAACCTCTGGAAGACCATCCCACTCCGCAGCAACCTGAGAGATCTTGTCACAAACTCTTAGATGCACAGCACAGCTTTCCATGGGGTCCCTCTACCCCAGGCCCACACTCTGCCCCAGTCTGACACTGCAGGCTCCATCCCAGCCACCCACTGGCCCTCCTGTTGCTTCCCCACCCTGCCTCCCCATATCATTCATGCTGAACTTGGCCCTGCCAAGGCCACACCCACCAAATCCTCCTTGCCCAGGGCCAGAAGCACTATCCCCCAACCTGTGGGTTCACCCACTTCCTGCAGGTGGCTCACCCTGCCCTGAGCTTACTGCCCTGGCTGAAATACTGGTCCGCGTCCCCTCATCCCAGCAGGATGGGGGTTAAGCCAGACTAACCAGGTAGGAATGAAGCTGGGGGTGTGGGGAGTGCAGCACACTTCTGCCCCTAGACTTATCTCCCTGCCCTCAGCCTCTGCTCCCCCATATCCAGGTCTAAACTCGTTCCCCCTCTTACTCTAGGCTCCTCCCTGCACAATTTGTGTAGGGCCCTGACCAGCATCTGTGTGACCCTAGGGGAGCCTCTAATTGCTGCGACTCCGTTTCTCACAGACCCTTCCCAATAGGACTTACACACTGAATGGGTTATTGAGCCACAGTGCTTTGCAAAGAAGCCCTTTATCAATACTCTGAAAGCTTCTACAGCCCAGCAATCCTTCTCTTTGACATTGTCACAAACAGAACAGTGATTCTTGGAACGAGTAAGAAAAAAAACATTCTCCTCAACCTTGGGCCAGAGTCTGGCAGGTGGGGCAGAGTCAGGAGGCAGAGTCACCTGGGACCCTCAGACACCTGAAGCAGTAGCACACACCTTCCTTGTGCGCAGGAGTCCCAACCACAGCACACACAAACCCAGAGCACAGGATCCATCTCAGAGCACAGGAGCAGAAGCTGAAAGAGCCATCCCCATCCCCCAAGCCTGGCTAAGGAGATGCCAACACAGGGCATCCTGTCCACGCTCTCAGCAGCCCTCGCCAAGGCCACGGTGCCATGACAAAGAGTCCTCCCAGAGTCCCTCTCACCTTCCACACTGCCCGGCCCTGGCTCCTGTCTCAACAGAGCAGGTGGCACCTGCCAGATACCCACTCTGTCAGGACCTGCAAGTGCCAAGGCATTCCTACCCTGACCTGATTACCTCTGAATTCTCACAACGCCCCTCTGCCAGATCCTGTTACTACCTCCTGTAGCCGATCCACCCAGCTGGCCTTGTTCGGGACCTAGGCCCACTACCTTTGAGGACGAATGTCAAAGACATGGAGTCAGTTTAATAAGAGGGCAGCCAGGGGGCTCTTGCCTCTCAGTAGGTAGAGGAGCCCCAAGCAGCTGGCTCATCTTACCTTTATTCACCCAAACACCAGTACGAGCAACCAAATAACACAAGATTCACTTGCTTTCCTATATCCGCTAGTACATGCTCAGGTAAACAACTTAACCTCAGCTGTCTTAACTTTTCCCCAGAACCTGCAATATGCAATCACCCCTGAGTGTAGCCTTTCTCCTGTGTGCTCACAGAGGCGGCCAGTTAGGCTTCACTTCTCTGGTCTCCTACACTTCCCTTTTACTGAGACCCTGATAGGTTCAGCATCCACCAAGCAACGCTCTACACAGCCTGGAGTACCAGCCCCAGAAGGCATCCAGGCCTTCAGACACAAAGCCTGGGTCCCCTGAACTATATTCCAATCCCTTGTCTTAACCTCTTCAGGCCTGCAAGACCTGGCCCAGGCTGTTAGGATTTCTGGTCCCAGGAAGCAAATAAAGGGCCCTCCTGGGTACAATAGCCTCTAGTTTGTCTCCTGTCCAGGACCCCCACCACTTCCTACTATTCCATTAATGGACACACAAAGGTCAGATCAGGGCAGTGTTCTGACCCTGCCTGTCTCCTGGGTAGAGAAAAAAAAGTGAGGCACAGAGAGAGAAGTGGCCAGCAAGAATTCAGTGCATCACTAGCAGAGCCTACACCAGAATCCAGGGCTGTGATCTTGGGCACAGCTCCTGGCCTCTCCAAACCTCAGTTTCCTCATCTGTAAAATGAGACCAAGTTCTTCGCCTCTGATTCAGCACCTAATTCCCAGGAGTCAGCCAAAGACAGGTAGATTCCACCCTGCCCGCCCTCCACCCTGGACTCAGCAACCTCCCTGACCATAAACAGGAAGGACAGAAAGAAGCTGGGGAGAGAAGGCCCTGCTGGTAGCTGCAAGTGGTAAGGGGAGGAAGCTGGTCTGGTCCCAAGAAGCCTGTCCCAGCCACGCCCTCCCCAAAGGGGACCAGGACTGCCAACTTCCTCGCAGCTGCGTGGAATCCCTCCGGGCTACCCAGGGGCCAGAGTACAGTAACATCTTGAGTACAGTAACATCTCTCAGCCTGCTTCCCAGCTAACAAACGAGGAAAATTAAAAGCGGTCCCCGCTAGGGGCCATTAAAGCCACCAGGGAAAGCCCGGGTCTGGACCGCCCCACACACGGAAGAGGCAAGGGGGCTGTGGGGCTGGCATCCCCCGGGCTGCCCCTCTTCGCCCGGCTCCACGGTGGCAGGACGTGACCCCCGCGTCAGGATAGCAGTTCCCCTGCGCCCAGACCCGCTGGGACTCCGGCCCGGTGGGGGGGGTGCGGGGACCGCGGGACCTCAGCCAGCCCGGACCCTCCCCAAGCCCAGTAAGCTCACCGGGACCGATTTGGACGTTGCTGCAAGCGAGGAGCCCCTGAGGGCAGTCGCGGCCGCTGCCACCGCGGGCCGGGCCCAGAAGGGGCTCCGACTCGGCCTGGGGCTCCGACATTGGGTTGATCGGCACCACACGCGACCCAGGAGAGAAACCCGACCAGCGAGCATCCAGCTCCACTGCGCAGGCCAGCGGCTGGCCCGGGAGGAGGAGCGACCGCACTGTAACGCAAGGGATTGCCCCTAACTACTGGCCAATGAAAACAAAGGGCTCGTGCGTGGAGGCGGGGTTTCTAATGCCCCGCCCTTCTGGGTGGGGCTCAGCTTCCTTCCCTCCTGGGAGTGAGTAGGCTTTTAGGACCCGAGGACTGGGGTGGAAAGTTCATGAGAGTGATTCCAGTTTGAAGCGGCCGTGTAGCTTTAGTCCTCCCAGACCTGCAGGATCCGAAACTCTGAGGCTTTTTTTTTTTTTCCCCTTTGGACACAGGGTTTCATGTAGTTCAGACTAGCTGTAAACTCACCAGGTAGCCCGCGCTGGCCTCAAATTCACAGTGATCCCGCCTCTCAGCCTTCTGAGTGCTGGGATTACAGGCGTGCGTCACCGTGCCGGGCAAGGAATCTGCTTTAACAAGCATTCTGGGTGATTCATTTGCGTGTGAGTTTTGGGTACATGGCCCCAAAATGGAACGTGAGTTTATCTTCTGATAATGAAATAAGGGAACTAAATACAGTTAAGGGTGTGAAGTTTTAAAACACAAACGACAAGCTGAAAAATATTTACAACACATGTAAAAGTTTTTTCAGCATTACTAAAAAGAGCTTGTGATAATTTTCTATTGCTGTGATGACAAATCTCACAAACAGCATAGAACGGCACGCACATTAAAATTGGAAACACAAGAGATTAGCAATGGCCCCTGGCAGGAATGATCACAAATTCGTGAAGCATTCCATGTCTGCACCCTGAGACCGTTATATTAAGTGAAATAAATCAGACTTCCAAGCTTAAACATCCCACGGTTTCTCTTATATGAGAAACCCAAAATATAAAGAAAGAGCAAAATAAAAGACAGATAATAGAGAGCCCAGGATTTATCTCAGTGGTGCAGTGCCTGCCTTGTAAGCACAAGGTCCTGAGTTCAATCCCCAGTACCAAATAAAAAGGAAGTTGGGAGATCTTTTTTCAGATGGGAAGAGTAAGAAGAGATGGAGGGAGGAAGAAAGGTTAGGGGCCGAAAAAAGAATTAAGATGTGTTTTGTACGTGTGCCGACTCTACAACAAATGTGATCATTACTGCGAACGTGTACTAATTTAAAAAAATAAATAAAATAAAACAGAATAGAGTTGGGGATTTAGCTCAGTGGTGCATCCGCCTGCCTTGCAAGCACAAGGTCCTGAGTTCAAACTCCAGCACCAGAAAAACAAAACAAAAAACAGAATAACTTCCATTCACTATCTGTTAGTCCTGAAGGTCAGAAGTCCAGCAGCTGAACTCTAAGTGTGGCCACTTGGGGTTCTTATCTGGAGACAAGAAAAATCCACTTTCAGGCTCACCTAGATGCAGCAGGATTGGTTTCTGTGGGGCTGGGACCCAGTGCACCTTTATTTGCTGAATGCTGATCAGGGTGGTTCTCTGCGGCCTCCATTGTCATCAGAGTCAGCAGGAACCAATTTAATCCTTTGTCTTCAAATGAGATGCTTTAAAGTGCAGCCAAATGCTCTGAATCTCTGGCTTCCCTTCTGCCACATCTCTGCATCTTTTCCTCTCAGTGGGGGCGAGTCGGGTGTTAAACATAGTTATTTATCATCTTAACCTTTTTTGTATGTGTGGTACTGAGGATGAACCCAGGTCCTCCACACTGACTTGCACCCTCTGCCATTTTTAATTTTTTTTTATTTTGAGAAGAATCAAAGTTGCCCAAGTTGGGCTCAAATTTGCAATCCTCCTGCCTGGCCTGCCAGAGTGCTGGGATTTTACCACCCCAGGGTATTATTGCAACTGTCACCACCATTGGTCTCCAGAACTCTTTCATCTTGAAAAACTGAAACTGTACCATTCTCAAGTTTACAATTTAGCTTGATGATTTTTGTTTTGTTTTCTTTTGTATTTTGAAGCAGAGTTGCTATGTAATCCAGACTGACCTTGAATTTACTATATAGCCCAATCTGGCCTTAAACTCTCACAGCGCTCCTGCTGCCTCAGCCTCCCTCCCATGTGCTGACATTACAAGCATGTGCCACCACTCTCGGTTTAGGTTAATGATCTTAATTGACTTTATTTTCAACACTGCTGGTTTTATAGCAGCCTTCCTAATGGGTGAGAGCCGCAGCTCACTGGTTTTGATTTGCATTTCCCTAAGGGTTACAAAGTTGCCTTTGCCCTTTGTATATATGTCCTCTTTGGGAAAATGCCTATTCCACACTGGAAATTTTAGAATTCCATAATACGTTCACAACACAGGTCCCAGTGTACAGGGCAGAGGAGACTGGGTTTATAGACAGAAAAAAGCTTAAGAATGCAGAAACAAAAAAGGAGATAGTTACTTTCTTTGTAAGGAGAGGGCAGGGAGAGAGAACAGCAGAAAAATAACTGGTCAGAGAACATCAGGTTATACTTTACTTACCCTTGGAGAGAAAAGATAAGGCAGAGAGGACTCCATTATTTACAAATTGCAACTGGCCTCTTTGGGAGGTTTGATCATTATCTTCCTAATCCTGATTTCCCTGGAAGATCAAATACACAGCTTAGTTTCAGCTTGGTGATGTGAACTTTAGAGTGAGTCCCTTCGACTTTGAGTCTGGTCCATGGGCCTTCGTCCAGCCACAGCCTCCTGTCAATTTTTTTTAACACCATTAAACTCTAATTTCCGAACTCCCCCCACGACCTCCTGGAAGCCACCTTTCTTCTCTCTCACTCTGCCTGTGTGTCCTCGGTGCTTCCTGTAAACACATACATACCGTGTTTGTCCTCTTAGGCCTCACCGCTTTCCCTGCACTTCCTGTCCTCAAGGTTCATCGTCACTGCAGGGGCGGCGTTTCCTTCCTTTTTCGCAGACTGAATATTTCATTTTGCTTACGCACTCATCCACCACGGAGTAGCTCCCGTCTTCTGCCTACTGTGAATAATGTTGCCGTGAACACAAATGTGCAAACATCCTTGGGAGACCTTCCTCTCCATTTCGAGGCACAAGAGGGTGTGAACCAAAGTCTCCAAACGCTAAACTGCATCGGAAACCCCAACAGCTTGCTTGACCTTGGTTGAGAACAGCGGAACTGTGGAGAGATGCTATGTTGTAGGTCGGGAACCACTGTCACCCCGGGCTATCTTACTCACTTCAATATCGACCCCTTTAACTTTCGTATCTGACCTAACATTCCTGTGACTAGAAAATAAACTACTCGGAATGTACCGCTAGGCTTAGCCAACCTCTAGTCTCCCCCAGCCCAAAGGCTAAGAATGCTCTACTCTGTGATAACATCTGAACCCCATGGAAAGCGTCACCCCATCTTGCGCAGCCCGTAGCCCACCTGCCTGATTGCCCCCCCATGACTGGGAAACTTAGTGATTTATGACTTTCTTTCATTCTGTGACTCTTAAGTCCATGTATGTAACCTCTTCCATGACAGAACATGTCCTTCAAGGTAACTGGTCACTAATATTTGGCTCAGAATAAGTTATTTTCTATTTCCTTTAAAACTGAGTTGCTGTTTTACATTGACAAGTGGAATTGCTGGACCGTACGGGAATTATATTTTAATTTGGGGGCAACCATGATACTCTCCCATAGCAGCCGTACCATTCCAGGTTCCCAATGGTGCACACAAGTTTTAATTTCTCTCCAGACTCACTGACACTTGTCTTTGCCTGTTGGTTTTATAGCAGTCATCCTAATGGGTGAGAGGCAGGGCTCCCTGTGATTTTGATTGCATTTGCCCAAGGATTAGTGAAGTTGCCTTTGCCCCTTTGTATGTATGTTATCTTTGGAAAAATGCCTATTCAATTCCTTGCTCGATTATGAATCAGATGTTAGGGGATTTTGTTTTGTTCTTGTTGAGTTTTAGTTCTCCATTCTGTGCAAAAATCTTTTATGGATATGTGATTTGCAAATACTTGCTCCCAATATGTGGGTTACGTTTTTTTTACTCTATTGCCCTTTTGGGGTTTTTTTGTTTTGTTTTGTTAGGTGTTTTGACGCGGGGTCTCACTATATAGTTCAGGCTGGCCTGGAACTCACTCTGTAGCCCAAGCCTCCTGCCTCAGCCTCCGGAGTGTTGGGAGGTACAGGTGTGCATCACCCTACCAGGCTCCCATTGTCTTTTGCTGTGTAAGCATCACAATTTTAATTAGATCCAGTGGGTCTGTTTTGTTGCTTGTGCCTTTGGTGTCACAGCCAGAAAATTATTGTCAAATCTGCTGTCAGGAAGCTTTTGTCCTAACATCTTCCACGATCTCTTTGCTGTTAAGGGTCCATGTAACTGTACTGAGCTCACTGGATAATCCAGGATGATCTCCTTATTTTAAGAACAGCTGATTAGTAACTTTATTTATGCAAGAATTCTTTGCCATCTAACCTAACCTAACCAGTCATACACTGCCAATAGTTGAAGGTCTGTAAGGAAAAAGTTAAATTCCCCATAGGTAGGAAAGAGCAAACAGAAATATCAATACAGAATTCTGGGCCCCAGTCACTGAGCCGCCGCCGAGGTTTCAGCTGCCTCCCCCTTGAGCCCCCTGCTTCCCGGCGATCCGTCCCCCCCGCCCGCCTTCTCCCGCAGCCGCCTTCCGCAGGCCATTTCCACCGAGGAAAAGGAATCGTATCGTATGTCCGCTATCCAGAACCTCCACTCTTTCGACCCCTTTGCTGATGCAAGTAAGGGTGATGACCTGCTTCCTGCCGGCACTGAGGATTATATCCATATAAGAATCCAACAGAGGAACGGCAGGAAGACCCTCACCACTGTGCAAGGGATCGCTGATGATTACGATAAGAAGAAACTGGTGAAGGCGTTTAAGAAGAAATTTGCCTGCAATGGTACTGTAATCGAGCATCCAGAGTATGGAGAAGTAATCCAGCTCCAGGGCGACCAGCGCAAGAACATATGTCAGTTCCTGGTAGAGATTGGACTGGCCAAGGACGATCAGCTGAAGGTTCATGGGTTTTAAGTGCTTGTGGCTCATTGAAGCTTAAGTGAGGATTTCTTGGAATGAGTAGACTGTCCTTTCTGTCCCTTGTCACAAGTTTAAAAACCTCACGGCTTGTATAATGTAACCATTTGGGGTCCGCTTCCACTTGGACTAGTGTAACTCCTTCATGCAATAAACTGAAAAGAGCCATGCTGTCTAGTCTGGAATCCCTCATTTGAACAGAGCTCACGCAGTAGGTGCCCAGCAGTGTGCAGCCTGAAACACTGTACCGTGATGTTGCAGCAGGGCCCCAAGACCGCGGGCAGCTGTGTCTGGCCAGGAGCTCTCCGAGCTCTCGCTGCTGGGTCCCTGGCCTTAGAAGGCCCCCACCCCAGCCGCCCAGGGACCGGGGAGAGCAAAGGGAGAGGCAGCGGTGTGGCTCCACCACTAGAGGGAGCAGTTGGTAGCGGAGAGCCCTCCCCAGCTGGCTGCCAGGGCCTGGGGACCAGACGGCCCAGCTAAAGACACCAAACCCAGCGCTCAAGGCCAGCCCAGTGCAGTTAAACTTCTGACAAGGGGACAAACCCACCTGGTGACAGCTTGCACCCCACACGCAGCAGCTCCCCAATGCCATGTGAAGTAACTGGTTTTGGTTTTCCTCCCAGTTTGATGTTATGTAATGTATTTAAGCCCTTATTTAAATAAAACTTGTTTTCAGAAGTCCCTGGCGTGCAGCTTGTGCTTTCTGGGTGGCCCGTCTGTTGCTGTGAACAAAGCCGAAGTCCTCTTGGCTGATCCCACTGCTCTGACCGCTGTT